CGTCATCCTGCCGCTACCATCACAGATAATAACGGCCCATAATAGAAACAGCTGTGCCGTGATTACTGTATATTTTCTATACAAGTGCGTCATTACTCTAATGGCGTGCGGCACGCGTCGTGCACGTATGATTCTTTAGAGCTGCTAAACTAAATGGCTGTTTTAGATCTCTTTACTTTCTTGTATACACAGCAATTTGTGATTTCCGCACGGTTATGTTCTATGTCTTCTTTAGTCAGCAGATTCTGTTACCGTTTTGAAATGGACTCTATCGGCTTGTCTTAATGTTAATGTTCGGTTTCCGTTCTTCATTCTTAATTTTTTTACATATAAATTAGTTACTCTTTTGATGATAAATGCGTGTGTAATTTAAAATTTTAAAAAGTTCACCGTTTTTTTTCCAAAGCTTTTGACTGATTTAATTAAAATTCATTAAAATAACGACGTAGAAAGATAAAACAATAATCCCTGCACCAAGTTAACTAAGTTAGTTGCCCTGTTTAACTTTCATAAACTGCGTCTATTTATATAATATATAATAAATAACTAGCTTTATATTTTCAACTATTGATTATAATTATAGTCAATGGAGAAAATAGAATTTTTTTTCATTCAAAATGTACAACTTCTAATTGATACTCGCCCCGCATTGCGTTCTAATCGTCATCATTGGAATGGAATTAATGATATTGCTAAACATTTTTTTTTAATTATCCTAACATGATTAACATGGAAACCAAATTCGTTAAGGCGCGTGTCGTTATCTGAACGGAGTGAGATGCAGCTACTTTACATCTAGAAAACGTTATGAAGTCGATTTCTAATCGATTTCCCTTTACTTTCATGTGGCGGTAAATATTACGAACACTTGATTATTCGCCGCCAGTTTTAAGTTTGTTTCGGTATGAATTTGGATAGGGGCTTGAAAAAAGTATTTAAACGACCTAACTTTCAAAAATAACGATTTAAAAATAGGTAGTGTAAGAGATATAAAACTAGTGTCCGCTGGATGTTGAATGAAATAAATTTGAGAAATCTTATTACGTACCAATTTACTCTGCCTACGTTTGTGCCATTATTTTATTTGTTTTACTTTAAATGAGTTGCCTATACTTCGATTTCTATTTCTAAGGTATAATACAAATTTAATTAAATATCTGTAGGTCGTACATTTATTTTCAGTAAAAATCAAACCCGTGAACAGCGGCACGAAAAGCTTTTCTGCATCTGCATCACAAAAGCATAAAATAATCATCCAGTCTCACTATAAGTGTAACCGGTCATATGGACGTTTTTTTCTGCTAACAAAAAATATGCAGAGTGGTGACCTAATAAGCATTTTTTTAATACTTTTTTCCCAGATATGGGGATTTTATTTTTCTTTTGTGTATTTTTTGTTTCAATTTTCACGTCTTTTCTAACAAGTTTCTTATATCTTATACTTTTATTATCACTATCTTTTTTTATTTAACAAATTTCTGTTTTACTTATTCTACGTATTTTTCTTCATATTTTTACACATTTTATTTTACATACATTTCCTCTCCTTACTTTTACACAGTTTGTTATTAACTGGTTTGCTTTTCTATCTATTCACTTGATTTTCTCTTTATACTCATTCATTTACTGTCTCGTATTAACTTTAAGTTGCTAAGCTTTTCTTTATTTACATTAAACTTTATCTCCATTTACGCATTACATTATTTTATATCGTGGTTTAATATGACTTGTTTAATGTATTTATTTTTAAGTGCTGTTTTAATTGTTATGTGTTTTAAAACTGTGTGTGCTTCTTATGTGTTTTAAACCGTTTTAGACCTATTAAGCATTTAGAATGTATAGATAAGTTGTCGAAACAATTTTTACCGCTACTAGGATACAGAGCTGATCGCTTGATATCCTCACCGTAACGAAATCTCGACACCTTGTCCATTTCGTTTTAATTGCATTTTTAGCAATACATCGTCTAATGTGCTCCTTATACAGCGAAAATATTTTCTCAAGTGACATTTTTTTTAAATATGGCGCAGCTTTTAATCGTGGCAACAGTGAAAAAATGTTTTGACTATTTATCTACACATTTTGAGTATTATATTAAGTGCAGAGATTACACTATCACAAAAAAAATAACCTATTAACTATTTTAATCATGTTTAAAATTCTAAAAAAATTCGAGTCCCATCATTTACAACGACTTGTGAGTAGTTGCATAGAAAAGACATCAACGCACCCGAAAGCTTTTATGTGCATGATCAAACCCCATGCTCCCGTTTAACAGCTTCAAATAAATAGTGTCATTGAGAATTGTCATGCGCTTATCTGGCAATGCTTTTTGTGTCCCACTTTTTGAACATGACTTGAATAACTATTTGGGATTGTTCTACAATTCTTTTTAATGTCCAATTAAGGTGAATTTATTAGAGCTCTAACGAACTATAGTAATTATATCTAAGTTATCAACGCTTTCACATATTGAATACATAGTCGTATTAGCGTAAATTTATTGAAAAGCAAAATAGCAAAATAGCAAAACTTAACTTTGAATAACAGGCGAGCTTTAACAATTTTTGAATCTTAATGGGATAGATATTCCTTTCCAAAGTGTTATTCACGTTTACCGAATTCATTTACTCCCAAACTTCAATTGTGGTAAATCTGTATTGTAATATATAATATATGAGAGAAGTATTTTTTATTTAAACGTTTAATGAAATTATCTTTTAAGTTTCTAGCTGGATCAAAGTAAGTTTGACCCAGCTAATACTTGTATCCTACAAGTCTATTCTATTCCCCAATAGCCGTGAGCAAAACAATGCATTTTAATATCTTATATATTACATTAATGGTCAAAACGAGATATTCTAAATTAAAATAGAAGTAACAACCATTTATGAAAACTCAATATTAATCAAAGTGTTATCTTGAGAACAGAACATTGACATTTATGAAATGATAAAAAAGTAAAGGGCTTAAATACTTATTTAAGCCCTTTACTTTTTTATCACTAACTAACACGACTATTTCGTAATGGCAACCCTAAAATTATTCGCATACGCAGCCGGTGCGTTCGTGTGCATGCCGTTTTGTGAATTCTTTCGATTCGTGGGAACAAAATGCGATTGCGTCGTTCCTGGAACGTCTGCTCGCGATCCGTCATAAAGTTTCGTGCCAATGAGCAACTATGGAGACTGTTGTTTCTGCTTATTTTAAAAAAAAACAAATTTATTTTTAAATTTAGATATTATAAAATAAACAAATAGTTTTTGTTTTATTAAATATTTATTTGTTTATGTATTAAAAAGCCTACATTGATACAATTTTATTGTTAATATAACACACAAGAAGGAAATACAGTAAATTTATATTATACCCTTTAAGAAAACAAAGACAGTCATTTGGCCTTGTTGACGGTGAAATCTTAAAACTATAAAATAGCACTATTTATTTTTATTATTCAAAATATAAAAATTATGCTATTTGCAACTGAGACTATTAGTATTACTCTGGTTTCCACAAAATATGTAAACATGCATTCTGTATATAGCTACAGTTAGATACACTATTAACATTAACATGTCGGTGGCGCGAACCCATAACAGTTTTCCCAACCAAAGAAAAGCTTAGCTCAACGGAGACGTTTTCTCTTCAAACAATAAAAGTAACACAAGTTGTATGCCCTGTATGTACGAATTACATTTCCCAGGTCGGCAAATAACTGCTGAATACCAAATAATTTTAGTAACTCCACGGTGGCACGTAAGTTACTCGTAATAAGGTATGAATATCGTATATTTAGGTATACAATGTAAGTGTGTATGTAGGTCTATACATTTATGCCCATAGACAGCTGCGTGCTCGCCAGTATGTGATATAAGTGGATATATTATATAGAAGTATAACAAAACATTATTGTTGTCCAACGGTAACCACGTTCTTATAGCTATAGAAAGACTTACAGCACTACGTACAGCATATTCGTGACACGAACTCATATAGTTTAAGCCATTCTAAAAACGTCAAACATGCATATGACAAACAAAATTTTTATTCACTTGTTAATAAAAATATGTTTCATTTTTTTTAATATGCCAAGAAAATTTGAAGAACTCGCCCTGCGGGCTCACATTAATGTTTTTACTCCAGTGTCAGTGGCATTGAACGTGAGCTTTTTAAAATGTACTTATCGATTTCGGCAATCGCACCATTCATAAGAGTCGATTCAATTTCGCCAGGGGCGCTTGGTTTAGAGAATATTCGATATCCATATGTAATGTTCACACGGTCCCTTGGCGAAAACCTGTCGTTTTAAATGGTCGGTGTACTGGCAAGCGAATGAATTACTATAACAATACAACACGACGTTGCTTTAATAGATGCACAACACATACATATGTAACAGTTCCGAGAAAATGATTTTTTTATTTTTATATATTGCATTAATTGTATATGACGGTGCATAATAACGCATTTGAAATGAACCTATTACCCCACGATATGGCCATATATGATTTACAGAAAAATATTGTTATTCTCTTTGGAGCAAGAAATAGGCGTTTGTAAAATAGTATTACATAACTCAAAACTTTACAGATTTTAAGTTAATAATTTTTAACAAACAAAAACCGACTTCAATCAGAAAATTAAAAAAAATGTTAATATATAGGTATTACATTGAATGTAATTACATAATTACATTCAATGATGTTCCTCAATTTCTCAGGGATGCCAACATCAGATCCGGATTTCCTTATCATGGTACCACCATTGGGATATCTCCTTTCCAACAAAAAAAGAATCATCAAAATTGGTTCATAAACGACGAATTTATCCACACATAAAAAAAATAAAAATATATACGGTCCAATTGAGAAACCTCCTTTTTTTGAAATCGGTTAAAAAATAAAGATGCAGAAATTACGTCATTATTTATGAAACGAGGATTATGCATAAAGTAATCTATTCTCGCTTGCAAGTGCATGGAAATTAATTTGGTACTCTCTATGCAGACGAGGGTTCGAGCCGGCGAGCTGTGGCCGATGGAGAGGCCAGAGGGCATGCCCGTCATCCAGTCGTTAGAAGTCATGTGCGGCAAGGATCACATGGACGTGCACCTTACGTTCTCCCATCCCTTCGAGGGCATCGTGTCATCCAAAGGTAATTTAAAACAATCTGCGCAACGGCTCATATGTTTAACGGAACATTCGCTACAAACCAATTGCTTTTAAGTGGGCAAGAAGGTGTCTTGCGCTGCAGTCAAACATTCACGCTTAGGAATGTAGCGGGAAATACGGCGCCGTTTATATTTTTAGGCTCGATGCTTATATCAAATGTTATCTTAATATCGTATAACCTGTATGCTAAAATTAAAATGTTTAACTAAATTAAAATAAACAAAAATTTTAATGAAAATACCAATAGAAATTAAATGACAAGAAAATACTTCAAATACATAATGAGATTATAAATTTTTTCGGCGATAATAGAAATAAAACTGTTATATTTTCTAATTTCTAAATAGTTGTCGACTTTGTCCCAGGCAGGTGGCACTGATTGCCAAATAAGAGGTAATTCAGAGAGATTATTGCCAATAACCCATGATAAAAGGAATCTGCGGTGAATGATACATCGGTTTCGTATGCGCTGTAAAATTATCTGACTGGAATATGAATGCACCGCGGGCGGCAATCAGAGCGCTACTAATTGTAACTTGTAATTGCTGAGATTTCACTAACAACGATATACGCTGACTTATCAATTCCGTGCGCGTTCTAGATAAGACACAACCGTTTCAAGCAGCACATATTATCACTATCTTGTAGTTTCTATTTAAACAAGAGGTTTATTTGTTGGTTTACGCTTTATCAATAGACAATAAAATTACGTGTTAAACAATAAATTGGTATGAAATTTCATTTTAAATAAATAAATATTTCGGAGACATTTTTACACAACGTTATCTAGTCCCAAACGAAGCAAAGCTGGTACTATGGATACGATAACTAGGTAACTGATAGACATACTTAAACGTCATTTTCTTTTGTTAATAAATACATATTAAGGTATATAAACACCCAGACACTATAGAACACTATGTTCATCACACAATATTTTTTAGAGATCGAACCAACACCCTCTGGCGCAAGAGACAGGGTCACTATCCACTACGCCAATCGGGTCATTATAGTCATTATAGTTAGAGATGAAGTTTTAACGATATATTGCATTATGATATAAAAATAAAAAGGGAAGTTGAAACACAATGAGAACTATCCAAAAAAAACATCAATCACTTCTCAGTGAGGTTTCGGTTCACTTAATTTTTTGTTCACTTTAAGGTCTTGTATCGAACATTTGACGTTCCATTGAAAACATTACTCTCATTTTGTACTTCTCGAATAGTACGGTGTTACATTTTGAGTTTCTATAACCCAGAATTATACAGTGTGATACTCGTAATTTCTTCATATTTCATTGTAGGTACAGTCTTTTTGTAAGTTTTCAGATGAAGTCGACTAAATTCAATGTAACGGAACAGAACTTTTTGGACTGAATATTAGATTAGTTTATAGTTATTTTCGAGATAAAGTCGACTAAATTAACTGTCTCGGAAATCTACTATTTGGACTTGAATTAGATCCACTACATTGGTCTCATTTGTTATTATAAATATTTTTATTTTGTAGTTCGTCCATTATGTCGATTAAAAACCCTTTGTATTTCTTCGCCTTATTGTTTTTATTGTAGACTCTCGTAAGCTAATTATGTTATAATTATTAAAGAAAACGGTGAAGTGGTCACAGGGCATTAATTAGTAGTTACATCGCAGCTAGTACGGTAATTAAATGAATTTTCGCTTTCTAATTACAAGTATCCGCATGGTGAAATATTTCATTCACGCAACTTTTTATATTAATCTGCATTAAAGTAATAATGCGCACTAATTTTGGCTTATCATTTTTTCTGCCTTTTAATTTCTTAACTAACTTACTATAAGACGATATTATCCTGTGCTGTATAATTTGGATAAATTACAATGTTTTTCCAAGGCTGAGCATACTTTGTATCCATGATTTCGTGTTTCGTCATTGGTTTTTGTTGAAACCCCTGTGACGTAGTGCTTATTCCGTAACGTGAGGGTAGTATAAAAAATTAAACGATAACTTACCTCAAGCGTTCTGTTTTAAAATTGTTAAAAAATGTAATTTCTATTGATGAAATAGATCTTCTTTAAATTTATTTAATATTTGATTCTTACTTTTCATTCCTTTTTTGGTAAAGTTACTATATTTTAAACTTAAAGTATTCTCTTTAATATTGTATTTATTAATTATTGTCAATTTTCAGGGCAGCATGGCGATCCTCGGTGTGTTTACGTGCCACCAGCCACCGGGCAAACGTATTTCTCATTTAGGATTGCGTACGCGAAATGTGGCACCAAGCCGGGTGAGTTTTCCAATATATATATATAAATATATACATATATATATAAATTTTAATATACATAAATGAATTTATGTAAGATTTTCCCTTTGCTACAATAATAACTAATATATACGTTTATCTAAAAATTAAACATATATATAACGTAAAGTTAGCGCCTGCTCACAAAAATTTTTGCGCGTTGATACAAAGCTAAAGTGTACCTGCACTTTTGTAATTAGCTGTGAAAATTACAGAAAAACTCTCGAAATTGCTAACTAAACATAGTTCCTGATAAAGTGCAAACTCTATTAAATGTTAAAGATTTTTCGTTTTTTTTTTTTTTTTTCATAGTGCTAATTGTTTGCACTTAAGATTAAACATTAAAATTTATAGAAAAGGTACGAAAAGATTGTCGCCGCTGTGGGTATCGTATGTACGCCAGGTATTGCTTCAAATGCTATGAAATAATGCTGAAGATAAAAGACATTAAGATTTTCTTCGGTGTGGCAATCAGCCGTTTAGCTTAGTGACTAAAGCGTCAGGCCGCGAATGCCGAAGACGTGGGTTCGATTCCCACAGCGGCAACGATCTTTTCGTACTTTTTCCATAAATTTAAATTTTTGGTTTTTATTAAATGATGACTCGGTGGGGCATTTGCTAAGCTTCGTTGCCGGGATTCGTGGGTTCCATTTTGACACGGGACAAGTGTTAGTGTGACCTACAGATAATTGCAGTAAGATCTGGGTGGTTTTCCTCCAATTATCTGTAAACATGGACAAAATCGCTTACAGCATGATTCACATGTTTTGCCGACTCTACCTAGGCGAGATAAGGGCAGGAGGGTGATAAAAATTATGAGATTTTTTAATTAACTATTCGTTTGTTACTAAAGGATTCTACTGTCTTAACACAATAGCTCGGCAAACACTAGTTGAAGACAGTAAGCAAAAGCTTTAGTTAAATCTAGCTCACTAATATGTCTCAAGAAGAAACTCAAGGACCGGTCGGACCTAAAGTAATAAACTATCTTCGTGCGCTATGCCTTGAAGGTTCTTGCATGTATAATGCAGTAGTACCTGGAGAGGATTTTTTTGGTAAATCATGTATTTAAAAAATAAAGAAAATGATCTGGTATAGAAAAAAAAGTAAAAAAAAATAAGTATGTAAATGATCGTAATACGAACCGCGGCCGTCTGTTTTGGGGCCGCCCAAGCTATTATAACATTTTTTTTGCAGCGAAATTTACTGTCATATTCGAACGATATTTTTCATTCCCTGAAAACAGAGATAAAAGGACATTTTCTAAAAATGAAACCTAGCTAGATCGATTTTTCGCCCCCGAATCTACGCACATGCTAAATTTATAAATAATGTACATAATATTTATACATATATACAAGAATTGCTCGTTTAAAGGATAAAATAACTATATTAAATATAGCACCTTTTAATACATAAAGAAAGGTCTAACATCCTTTGATTCTAGAGATGCTGTGTCTGATAATTGGGTACAAATAAAAGACTAGGAAGGATTATTGAATGCCAATCAGATTAGGCTAAATTTATTCAAAAGGTTAAAAGTAAATGTAAATAATTTTATTAATGTAATTAATTTAATAATATCAATAAATCAACAAAGCCGCGCGTCTTGCAGTTTAATTCTTAAAAATAGACCGCACATTATGTGTGAAATCCATAAATACATTCGTGAGCTCTGGCCATGCGAACTACGACAATTAAGATACGATAAAAAGTTCATTTTAATTAATATACCGTAGTCGTATATCATAGTTATTTTAATTATAGCTTTACTCTTATTCTTACTTGCATAAATAGTGTTTATTTTATAATACAAACACTATCAAATACATGATATCAGAGATGAGTAATCTATATACATATATAAAATTCTCGTGTCACAGTTTTCGTTGCCATACTCCTCCGAAACGGCTTGACCGGTTTTGATGAAATTTTTTGTGCTTATCCGGTATCTATGAGAATCGGCCAACATCTATTTTTCATCCCCCTAAATGTTAGGGGTAGTCCACCCCTAAATTTTTTTTTTATTTTTTAGACAAAATTTTTAATTTCTATTTTTTTATGATACAGCGTACAAAAATACATACAACCCTAAATTTTCACCCCTCTACGCAGACGTAGTCGCGAGCAGCAGCTAGTTACACTATAAAATTTAAAATGTACGTTACTACACAACTGTGGCGACATCAATTAAAATCTTTTTTTGTATCTGTGATATTTTGTATGTATTAATTATTTCAGTTATTAAAAGCATTTATACGACTTATTTGACCGATATTCGACGAATGGTGACGATGTTTCACATGTTCCATACTTTTCAATAAAACTAAAAGATAATGAAATTATAGTCCATTAACTGTAATGGACTATAATTTCATTCGGGTTTGATGTATGTGATTGAACGAACTTTATACAAGCGAGCAATTCAGCTGATGTTAAGTCATAACTACCAGATTCGTTACCTCATAATAAAGTGGGCCCCGGCGGTAGCCACATTTTTATTAAGGTATTAATCACCAGACGAAACGAAACAGAATATACTACTGCGTTTCGTCTGGTGAGCGAGGTATACTGCCACATCACGCCGGCCTTCGAGGTCATGGTTCTTCCCAGGAAAGAGCAAACTTGCGTGGCCCTACCACAGTTATAGTTATTTATTCCTTGTTATTTTTATACTTAAATATTATATTCATGAACAGACGGGAAAAAGCAATAAAATGTGACAGATGTCATTACCAATGAAGACATCAAATTGAAACGAGATATACCTTTTGATTTTAATGCGGTGTATGTACCCTTTAAGAACTTGACAGAAATATGGCGGTACAATGAAGTCGGTAGAGCCAGTGAGTGTATTCAACATTGGTGCAACTTCATACGTTTTATGGCCTCATTAAGACACCTTCAAGCGCAGCCCGCTCGGTTATTTGCGAAAAATTCAACGACTTTTTATTAACCTCTGCATTCCACTGTTAAGCCAATTGAACAGATTTATGCAACACATAATCCTTGTCTCCTTACATCTTTAAATGCGTTGTACAGACGGAAACATCGTACTCTTCGCAATAACGGTCGTTTCAAAACATTAACGTAAATTGAATAAGGTTTATAAATGAGGCTTTGTATAAAAAACGTATGTATCCTTTCTGCAAAAAATAAGAAATGTTTCTTTTTCATTGATTTTTAAGATTGCCACCATGTTTGTTGTCGAAATGCCATTTTTATTGGTTTAAAATAAATACTGTTTTTTGTTAAAAAATAATCGTGTAAAATTTTATACAATATTCTTATATTTCCATTGGGTAACAAAATCATTCATTCAAAATCACACCTGGTACACAAGGAGTAAGGCAAATATTATGAGTCTTAACTTTAATTTTAGTCTCTTTATGTATCTTTCAAATTAGTAGATTTTATGCGTTTATTGCTTCCGTTTCTTTATTTTTATTAAACCATAAGTTATGGTCTCATACACACTCATTCAGTGATATCTAAAGCTTCTTAATTATTCGGGTTTGATGAATGTGATTGAAAGAACTTTATACAATATCTTTTTTCGCCATTGGCGTCACCATAAATGATTGACATCCTATTCATTGTATTTTTTATTTGTGTTTTATCTATATTAGAGGCTTACACATAGCTTTTTCATTTAATTAGCACACAGCAATTTAAAAATTAATATTGTTAATTATGGTTAGGCTTTCACGATTATGCTAATTTAATTAGTCATCGCACATGTTAAATATATATTTGTTTGATATTTAAACCTAAACATTTTTCGTTACCATTTAACCCATGTAATATTCGTACATGCATATTTGTTGCATAATTTATTTCCTTTTTTATCCCCGTTAAGATTTATCACGAACAAACTATTTAATCACTATATTATGTGTGAGGAAATCCACTGTCTTTCAGCGAGCTATGGCTACGTTCGGTATTTCTCTACGTGATAGGGTTCGCAATGACGATATTTTCAGTAGAACAGTACGATTGCGAAAATTTGTTTATGCTATGATCATTTGTTACTTAGAATTGTCATATTGTTGATATTAAAGTACAGTCCCTTCTATAAGAGAATATTATCTATTACTTAATGAATATTTGAAACTTTGATTAAAATCTTATACGCTTCCATAACAAAATTCATTCATGTACGAGTAATTTAAAATTTTGGACCTCGTATAGGTAAAGAGTGTAATCCCTTTTTATGCAACAAATACTTAAGATGTAATGTATTAAAGTAAAGACACAACTGACACGGCTAAAACACATATTATATACATCAAGGAAGAGGAATGTAAAACCCTTGAGAATTGTATAACCTTTCTGGGCTTGTCGTTCGTTCGTGACCCGTTAATCTATTAGACGACATGAGCTTTGCATTTAAGCATCTTTCCCACGACCCTTTACAGGATTTATTTGTTTGGTAGAGTAGGAAAGATAGTTTCGGAAAGTTTAAATTTTGCACAAAGCTGATCAATTTGAGACCTGTTTTATATATCGATGTATGGCTTATTTACCGTTATCTGTATATCACCTAAATGTGTGCAAATTTCTTGGTTGTAAAAAAAAAGTAAATTTAATAATAATAATAACCAAACAATGCATATGTATAGCACACACGTTTTATTGTGTCAGGACATTATAAAATTACTTGCCTCTTATTACTGTAAAGTTCTCTGTAAGCTCTTATTGAACTTCAAAAAACTATCGCCGATTCACTAAATTAGACTTGTTCAGAGAAGAACCGGTGAGAATCTTTGAGGTCTTATCTTTATTTATATAAGTATACAAAAGAAAGCAAAAGTAACAGTCTTTTACATGTACCACTGCTGGTCAAAGGCCTCTGTATAGATGGTGTAGAGCAAGAGTCAGCACTAACATAGAGTTAGTGCAAATTCACCTAGAAGGCTCAGATGGGGGTTAAAAATCTCGTTGTACGCCTTCAGAGCGCCTTTCGTCCGGGCGCTCCGGTCCCATTTCAACAAAGTAAAGTGAGTTTTTCTCGGTCCGATTCCTAGTCGCGTCCTCTATGGCTAGTGTACGTAACGGGCGGGGGACCGCTCTTTCCGCGAACGTGGAGCGAGCATTGTTTCTCGGAACCGCGCGGCCGGACCGCATAGCGTGCGCACAAGGCCCATATTCCCTCAACGGCCCGCCACCGAGACGCCATCCCTGAACGGCGTAAGCATTACCTTCCCTAACACAGTATTCGCGGGGCCACTTTGAATGCGATCGACCGTTTGGAACGTCCGCATCACGGGCACAGCGTTCGGGAAATGATAAGTGTACCTACAGGCCGATTCACGATATTTCCCTAATGGTTCGCAGTATTGAAAGGAAGTCGATTGAACGCTCTTAAGTGTCATTATCGCTCGTGCATTGGTAACCGGTGGACTTGTCTCCGAACCGCGTTCTTCGGGCGGCTTCCACTTTTTGCTTGAGTTCATCCGCGTATAGCCCTAGCAATAATAAGGATTAAAAAATAACTCTCATTTATTTCCAGCATTTCAATAAACGAAAACTAACTGTTAATCTACCTTGGATCCTTAATTAGCACCCTTTGTTTTAGGCATAAATACTTACATCGATAAATAATATTTGTAGCCTTAACAGCAGTTGAGAAATGTATAGGGTACATGAGAAACCTATAAAACGTAGACACAAATCTAAGGTGAAAATCGTGTTAATTTCGCTAATGTTTTACGAGACTAAATACTTACATATGCGAGTTATATAAAAAAGGCTTATGAATAATTGAAATTTATTTTATATGTAGATCATTCAGATTTGTCTCTTGATCATTTACGTACAACATTCATTAGCCGAGTAGTAAAATATATACCTTCAAAACATAGAATTTTTTTTTTCGTAAAGTACTAAACTTCTTTTTACTATTTTATCGAGTCTCGTTTGGCACGCAATATGCACAATGCTTAAGAGCGAGTATTGAACAGTTCGAGATATTGTTGATCTATATACGCAAAATTTTTATCCCACCTAAAACCATGTACTCCTGCGATTGTCCTTTGATAATATATTATTGTACTTAATTTAGGATACTGTATGAAAAATTATTTGACAATACTCGCCTCGTTTTTCAGACCTTCACGGACAGTTCTACGAGAACACAGTGGTGGTGCAATACGACAAGGATCTGCTGGAGGTGTGGGACGAGGCGAAAAGACTGCGCTGCGAATGGTTCAATGACTACGAAAAGACCGCGTCGAAGCCGCCTATGGTCATCGCCGATCTGGACGTAGTACAACTGGATTTTAGGGGTGAGGCTCAATAGAGAAATTCCAATATTTGTCACATGTGTTAATGTTTTCTATTGTAACTGTGTCAAAGATATTATAAAATACCACAATATAATAACTGTAACTACTGACTAGCAACTCCAATGTTCACAAATGCATTATCATGTACATATTACATTTTTTCTATTTTTATTGCATTTTTTGTATAAACATCAATTAAATAATAAAAACTTTAAGGTTCATTACGAAATTCACTATCATATGAAAGTTATTGTTTAATGAAGCATTGCGGCTTTTATTTTCTCAAAATATTTCCAAAAAAAAATCACAATATAAATCTTACTACAAAATGATTAGCCGACTGAGCGTATTTCGATGACTAAATACACAATCAGTTATACAAACAGGGTAGTTAAAAAAGGAGAGATGAGATTGTGTACAAAATCTATTCACAAGCGGGTCCATGGTTTTGTTGTTTTAATTAATGTTAGCGTTTTCAATCCGTAGACTATTAAAACTTTATCGAATGCAGAACCCGTGGGCTTGCTAGAGCCCGCGTGATTGAGGCCCTCCACAGTGGGTAGGGCCACGCATATCCTCATGCGCCCGTTAACTAAGAGTGTCGCCCATGGGCTATGGAGGATTGGTGCGGACCGTGACCCCGATGGCCGTTGACTGTGCGGTTAATTGGTGCCTGGGGTCGATGAGAACCGCCCTAGTATACGGGTGTACCTAGTGTACGTGTCCTATTGGTTTCGCCATGCGTGTAGGCGAGGACGAACTGTGGTGTTTGTGGTTGTACTTACTGTACACGTGTTATTTGGTCCGTGGTAAGCGCTGTGTTCAAAAGTACAACTTCGAGCAGTTCGAATGATATAAATTGATTAAAAGTAATATCAAGTGTGATGTGTGACGAACTGAATCCTAATAATTACTTTATATTTCACGTAATATTTACCAGTACTACAATAAGATATCATGAATATTGTGCATCCACCTTCATATATCGGTTTTGAATATCTTTGATGCGATGTAATTATGATTTATTTTTATCCAGGTGACAACGTTGATTGCTGGATGGAAATACAAGCTGGGAAAGGGCCATGGGCACCACCCGTGTCTGGGATTGTACCCCTTGGCTCCACATTAACTCTCGTGGTTGCCATCAACGACTATCGAGGTAAGTTTTAATTACTTCAATAAGTTGTGATTACTTATCAGTAATGCTGTCTCTGTAGGCGTACTTGCTAAATATAGATTTCACTGCGTATTGTAGTCGTTTCCTACACGGGAAAATTATTTGTTTGACCTACAGACGTGTTCCGGCCCGTTTGCTGGTTGTTTGTCTATGTAAAAGTACCAATTTCCTAAGCATTATTTATTTACCAACACCAAACAACCGGTCCGATTGATGTATTTGTCGACACTTCTATTGATGGTTTACTTATGAGCTTTTTATGTGAGAAAGTGGCAAGTGAGCTGGGGGTTCATCTGATGGTAAGAGATAACCGCCGCCCATGGACACCTGCAACATCTGAAATGCATCGGCTGCAAATGTTTGGCCACCTTATAATAAAGTGGGCCCCGGTTACCTCACTCACCAGACGAAATGCAGAAGTAAAACACTACCACTTCACACCGGTCTTCTGCGAGGTCGTGGTACCCAGACGGACTTTCCCATTCGAACAACAGCGAATACTGTCGCGTGGTCGGTACGCAGCGGTTTAGTCTTTTCACTTCATTATTATTAACTTTTAAAACATGACTCGCGAAAGAGGATCAGTAGTTCATTTCCAAAGATTTTTCACGAGTTTTAATCAATTGCAAGCTCCCCAGAAGGTTTAGAGGTTGACGTAGCATTTAAGTATGATTTTTCATCTGATTCTTGCTTTGAAAGGATTTCACGACTGTTATTCCTAAAGTAGTGGACATAGTACAATGACTGTCTTCTCGCAGGCTAAAAGTAGGGTATGCTTAGACAAGCATTTAACATTTGGAACTTGTATTAAAAATTATAGTTTATACCAATATTTTATCCATTACCTTCAACAGGATGGGAATCCCAAAGTGAGATTTAAGCTGCAAAAACATATCGCAGGCCAACCTTCCAATTACTTGGCCACTAAAGCTCAGTTAATTAAGAAGCATTAACTATCTCTTTTTTTCCCAATTGGGTTAGATTTTAAAAACGTTTAAGGAAAAGGTCGATGTTAAAATCTCATAGCATCAAAATGAGCTTTCATTCTGTTACTCCGAACGTGCTTTATTGACTCGACGTGATTTATAATGATGATGTTAAAGTTTATGCGTGCCGCGTGGGACGCGTAATCTGCTATAAAATGTAAGGTTACTTTACGCATAAACTTAGTTGCACGTACTAGTTGACGGGTTAAAAGCGTTCCTAGTATATTCATTCGTTGAGGTTTTTTCAGCCTTTCGTTCGATTCATAATCAAATAAAAAAAAAAACATTCGAACGACAATCGATCGGCAAGCAGACTATTGTCGTACCAAAAAAAAGTTACCAAGTGAAATCAATTGAACCGGTAAACCTTTTTAGTTTAAACGTCCACATGATTTTTATGTTGTTCACTGAAAGATATCTACTATTATAATTTATCGTAAACCACACCATATTTTATTGGCGTCAATCAAGAGTAACTCTTGATTGACGCCAATAAAATATGGATACAATGTAGGTGTTAATGTTTAACTGTATTCTTATCTTATAAACTTTCCACGTGCCGGTCATGTATAGTTTGTTGTTATTGCTACTTTTAAACGTATTACCTACGTTGAGCTTTTAAAGTTAATACGATATTAGCATAATTATGTACGTAGATGTTTCGATTTTTGATGATATTTTACTTAACATTACCGTTAATCCAACCATTTTTTTTATTACTCTTTTGTGTTTAATATTTAAAATTGTATCTGTCTATTTTATTTATATCTTAAAATGTATCCGGATATCCACTAATTGTCTAATAATTATATAATTATCTAATAATTGAATGTCACATAGACATGTCTCTCTAAATAGTATTAATGCCGTCTTATTTGAGATTAGTCGATCAGACGGCTTTTGAACCTACATTAAGATAAGTCAGCATACTCAGCGAGTCAGTAATGCGATCAAGCTGTAGATTTCTTCCAATGGAGTGCGTTAAATAGTTTTTCTTTTATTATTACGAATCAATTTCTTATTTTCTTGGTTACAAAAGTAGTTGTCCTTTATTTGCGACCTGCACGGCGATATGTTCTATTCTCATCTATCGCGTTTGAGACTCGATTAGCTTGGCGAAATGTTAATAGAATTGATTCAATCCGTCTACTTCGTGAGGATCAAAATACGTGAAAGCATGTTCGCTATAGAACTCCCACTTTGAACAATCAAAATATCATATATGTTTTTTTCTAATTATATATGTCAAATATGAACTAGAAACCTCAGTTAATAATCCCAATTAAAAACAACTTGTTATTGATTGAAAGATTATATTTACACATACACATCTTAAAGACAAATAACTTTTTTGACGTCTAATATAAATCCATTTAAAAGAGGACAGTTCAAAGCTGTTATTCGGAAAGAGTCGAGTCTACAACATCTAAGCCGGACTGGATTGAGCGCATCCAGTTTCCGAACATAAAAATGTGCGCGTTCAAACGAAACTTTTGAGAACTGGACGCGGCCGACGACTGTACCGAATTCCGTCTGGCGACTTGCGCTGGCCGTCCGGAACCCCGCGAAACTAACAGGGCAATAATAGTGTGTAAACAGACACGTTAACGGTACGCGGAATGGTAAAAAGTGGACTGGACAAATACGTTCGAATGAGTTAGCTTAACGGGGCTCCGGTGGGACGACGGGTAAGGACTGCCGCGACCCCGCCTAGCCGCGCCGCTGCCGTCTCAATGTTGATGAATGATTCGTCGCGATGAATTCAATTTATAACATCGATTGCGAGTAACGCGGGCCCAGATGTCGTGCCGATGCAAATTGTTCGCGTTCCGAAATTAATTAGGCGCTCGTAAAAGTTTTGGTGTTTAGAAAAAAAAGATGAAAAATGTTATCTAGATTTAATAGTGATGTAACATTAATACTTATACAGTCTCTGATAGATTTATTTGTAGAGAATACACGATGTCTATCTCACGAAGATTTAGCCTTCGACACGCAGTAAAAGTAACATTGTGTTTGCGGACATAGTGTTTAATATTGCTACGTTAAAAAAACCCAAATAATATCGTCTTAAATTCATCTTATCCCATTCCTCAAATCATTGTTATAACCAATGAAATAAGTATACACATCACTGTGTGTTTCTTTTCCTTTTTTTGAATGAAATATTTTAACCTACCGACGTTTCCAAGATAATCAAACATAAATATTGAAAACATCGCTATTTTCACATTTGTCCAATAATCATAAAAATCTTATCCTATCTTATCAGAGGGCGAATAGCCCCTATTTCAACTGTAATATGCTCCCAGAATTTCTCCTCCTCCAGTTCCTCGTTGAATTGTTGGGTGACAGTTGATAGTTGTTACGCGATCTTTCTGGCGGCATCAAATTCGTGGTATCCAAAACATGCTTGATATAATTATGTATATAGATAAATCGCTATTATATCAATGATAAAGTATGAGCCGGCCAAGTGTCAATCGGATTCGTGCACGAAGGTTCTCGTACCATTAAACCGCAAAATAAATGTATGGGATTTTTTTATTCTGTCTTTCAGTATTTTTTGTTAAAGCGGCATCAGAAATAAATTATCTGTCAAAATTTCAAGCGTCTAACTATCACGCTTCATGAGATACAGCCTGGTGACAGAAGGACAGACAGACAGACAGCGGAGTCTTAGTACCTAACACAGTTAATAGTTGCGATTTTTTTAACAAATTTCAATATCATTATTTTATCACTTGACTTCACAAGAGATTAAAAATATTTTGAAACTTCTTTTACGCCATACAAGATAAGCCAAGACAAATTCTGTTCACTGTTTTTATAGTACTGTTTTAAGCGTACAAAATAACAGTAAAATGCTCATATAGAAAGTTAATACACATTTTGATCTAAAAAAGGTATATAGTATTCTAGTTTATTGTCAAAACAATAAAATATTATATATAATTATTAAAATATATCCATGTAACAAACATAACACAAATAATATCTAACAAATATAAATTATTCGTTAGATATTATTTTTTTATTGACAACATATAAAACAAATTCATTTACGATTTTAAATTTAATTTGAATGAAATATTCGTAATGATTATTACTGTATTGCGTACAACGAAAAAAAATCGCTTTCCACGTTATACTTTTAAACAGCATTAAAGTGTAAATAAGATTCAAATACATTTGTTTTATTTTCATTTAAGAAATATTATTCTTGCGGTTACGTTTTAAAATGCGGCATTGTTTACGATAGTTAAGAAAAATACCGTTCTGAGGCGTGAACAACATTTCACTTTTGAACTTGCCATAACTCAACAATGTAACATGTTTGAGGTAAAGTCACGTAAAACGTTTTAAGGTCAAACCTAAAGCTAAGTTCATCATACTTGCTGCGCAGATTTTTCATTTAAAACTTCTTATATTCAAGTCAATTATTTACGTTAAATATTAATTTTATCAAATTTGCTCGATTTATGAAAAGAAAAGTGTTAACTTACGAATATCTTTGTAAACAATGAAATAATACTGATATTAACAGCTTTTTTAATTTACAATTAACAATATGGATATACATATTTGATAAATCTAAATTAACTGGCTTTTCCCGGCTTCGCAAAGTTAAACATATTTAATTTACCTACTTTAGATTCTTCATTCGGATTACAGTTTAGGGAATTCTAATACAAAATACTTAAATAACACATATTTTTAAATAAGTAAATCTTTATCGTGCAGTGATAGGATAAAGAAAAATCCTTTTATATTATCACTTACGGCAGGATCCGAAGCAAAAACCCTTTATGATAAAAATATGACCTAAGTTTCTTTTTCTAAATTTAGTAGGTTTATACATAAAAATAATATAGAAATAGCCAAATTTTACTTCTTTGTACTGGGGATATAAAGAAAATTAAATTCTTTTCGCGCCTTACATCGTGCAAAATAAACTAATTATGAACATATTACGTAATAATTAAACGTACGTAAAAAAAGCATACTTTGGTGGAGGATGTGATTGCATTTTCTTTTCAATTAGGTTATATTTCAACTAAACCCGATTCCATAGAAAGGCTTATTTTCTCAAAACGGTGTCGAACGTGGCGATTGTTGTAAAAAACTTTAAAAAAAATTAACGGAACCATTAAACAAACGTCTTTTATTTATTAATTCAAAACAAATTTTCTATAATTTTTTTTTATTACCGATGCTTTTTCACACTGTGTAAATGCCGTTTTAGCTTGTTTTAAGGCGTCTTATTAGAGAATACTTACAGAAAGCCTAACCTTGTCGGTACAACTCACTCTTGTTTGCCGTGCATAATGGCGTATTTGCTTATTCGTGTCCGCCTCTACAGTACATTTGGTGAGGCGTTAAACGTTTGCCGCTTCCTTGCATACTTTAATTAGTATCCATTAACTTTTAACTAAGACGCTTTTAGTTGTTTCACAACTAAAAACCTAAATAGTTTTATCAAATGATAAAACTATTTATAGTTTTATAGTTTTATCAAATGATAAAACTATTTATAGCATAATTTCTATTTCAAATTGTTTGCAAATGTACTAACGGTCTTAGGTGACATATATACAGATACATTTAGTGAAAATCGAGATCCGATATAAATTTTTATACATTGCTTCTACTTCATAGATTTCTTTATTTATTTTTCTAGCCGAGAGTGAGTATGCTTGGGCGTTTATTTACTAGTTAACTTTTCTTCCTATGATAATTATTGTTAGTAAATTGAAATCAGTTTTATAGTAATTGTATAAACTAAACGTTTTCGAGTTGCTTTAATGTCCAGTTAACAACGTGCAATCTGCTTTTTTGTACATCACATTTGTATCTGTTATAAGACGAAAGGATGACTGTCGTTTCTTCTTGTAGATTTCACTAGCCATTATAGTCAACCACGTATAGGCAGCGATGAGAGCGAGTTTGTATAATACACATAAATGTTTTGTTATATTGAAAGCTTCTACCTTATATTTATGCTTAGGCGAGTTCGACATGCGCGTGAAGTCATGCGCCGCCTCAGACGGATCTGGACACGTTATTCAACTATCCGATGAATACGGATGCGTTTTACGGCCGAAGATGATCTCCAGGTAAAACATATCAGTGGCTGTTACCTTTACACGGTTTCAAAGCTTCTCTTTATTCACTTAAAGCTTACACACATTGTTAAATCACATATCTAGTTCGTGTAAACCAATATTGATGTACTTTATAAATCATATATGCTGTATCAAATACTAACTGTAACTGTATTAATATTTTATACAATATTTGATTGTCCTAAATCTCACCGTAACGATGAGTATGTCACTATTGTTAAAAATATTTCAAACTAACCTCCAATAATTTGTAGCATTGAGAATTATTATTAAGCACAACAACGCTTTCAGGTTTCTCAAAGCAAAGGCGGCGGATGAACGAGCTACGGTCATAACTTACGCTTTCTTCCACGCCTTCAAATTCCCCGACGCGCTAAGCGTTCACATCAGATGTAAAGTCGAGATTTGTAGGCATGGATGCCTTGATCATTGCCAACTTGCTGGTGTAACACCACAACGACACGGTGCCTTGGATAGGAAAGATGACCGCACTCACCAGGACCACAACGAGATAAGGTCAGTCAAAATGAAATACACAATAATTAAATAGCAAATGAACTAAACTTTCATCTGTGCAAGACTAGCGTTGAGCTCTAATTATTTTATTTTCAAATTCTATTTATATTGTTCGCATATGGTTGACTGTCATGATTTTTTAAATTTATAGTGACTCATCAGCGGAGGGGTCGGATACGAGTCTGGCAGAAGAGTATCAACGTCTTCCTCTGGAAGAAGCATTTGGTGATGAAGTCTCGGGTGACGTCGTTCCGGCACCAGCTCCTTTGCCTCAGCGGGCACCAGCTCCCGTCATGGAACCTGGATCTGATCAAATCTCATCACTTGAAGAAGCTTTTGAATCTTTGAGCAGAACACCATTTACCGTAAGCAAACTTTTATTGTTTACATTAAAAAAATATGATTTGTTATTTATACATTTTATTTAAATTCACAACATTCTGATAAAGACAGATATTATGATAAAGGATTTGAAGTACTCGTTTGTTTAGCACGGAAAACTGTGTTTATAAAGGAGAGACAATTAGTTGACAAAGTTGTTACTTACAGTTATAGTTATAGTTGTTCTTGATATACCAAAGGTATACCATGTGGAACCCGCACAGGGCAATATTTTTTTGACCAATACGCAATGATTGCGTAATTGATAGCATCCTTTCATTTCGTATAAAGTGTAATATATTCGAAGAATTCACATTACTATTTCTAGGATCGGACGCCTGAACACGAACGTTTCCCTCACGGCCCAAGAAACCTTGCCTCCGGCATCAAAAACGACCATGACGGAGGGGCAATGGCTTCCAGCAAAGGCCGTAGTCCGGCCGTCGCCGGTCCCAGATCTTTGAGAAAACGCCGCACGGTGCGCGACGCAAGGTCTGCGGACGTTGGCGTTTCCGGCATTTACGAGGTGGTCTCCGAAGCCGATTTGGCGTTCGGACCTTCTAGAGAGCCCGTCACAGTATTCAGCGGGAGAATTCGAGAAGAGGTAAACGAAAGCAATTATTGAATTCAAAATTGTCATCCACATTAGATATTGTGTCATGGTGTGTGCAGATCGGAAAATACTTCTTCTAAAATTGGTTGCAAGTTACTTTCGTCTACAAAATATACAATGTTCATAAGCTTTCTATATTTCAAATTTTGATATAAAAATCATTCGACTGTAATGGCTTGAAGTCTATAATATAAGTAACAAAGAAGTAGTAATAACAAAGAAGCGCTTTGTTTTTATTACTTCTTTTTCTATAACGAACTCTGCGTTGTCTTCTTTTAGGTCGTGTACGGCGTGTGCATGGGTGCTGTGAGCTTCGGAGCGCTTTTTGCGTCAGCTGCTGGTGCGGCGGCTGGAGCGGCCCTCGCCGCCGCAGTAATGCTTCATCGGCTCCGCTCAAGAATGTCCTCCGAGCCCCCCGTGCCGGTATCACCGGCCACCGCCTCTCATTCCCTCGCGGCGTGGATGGCGCTAAGGCTACTGGGCTCTCCACCCCATCCACACCACTCCCACGAAGGCTGACCTCATTCATAAAAAATCCTATTAAGACTGTCTTAGCGTCTAAAGTCTACAAAGAGCTTTCGCTTTCTGTTCAGTTCTATGACAACTTTTAATTATTTATTATAAATTATAGCATGAATTCAACTGAATTTTAAATTGTTTCGAAGGTCAGTGATTGCTTTTTTTATGAAATGTGTACTTTACCTAGACGTTAAAGTGAATTAAACCGTATGGAAAAGAATAATAACTAAAGACTACTTGTATATTTAATAAAATTTTCATAACTTCTACTCCTTACTGTTCTAAATGCCTCAATAATGTCGATGGTGCTAAGTCGTGCTACGGACGAAGTCCTTTGTAACCTGATTTTCACTGTTGTGAATATTATATACTTATGATAAGTTTTGTACAGAACTCACCTTTAATTTTTAATAACTAACTTATAATTGTATCGTGTTCTTTGTAACGTAGGGGATAAGATTAAGCGACGAGTCATGCCATTAGGTTAAGTATAGTCAAATAGCTCTGACTTTTCGTCGTATATTTTTAAAGATACAGTAGATGACTATTTTTACATTTTGTTAGGCTTATACTCGTACATATATTTAAAACCGTCTAGTAACGTACAAGCGTGACTTTATAGAAATTTGATGTCATATATTCTGTTTCTCTGATCGATTTTAAGTTATCCTAGACTAATGAACTTCCGTACCTAAATCGTTAAAATATATTTTACATGGCTTTTTACGATTTAGTACATAGTTAGAATCAATAATACTAACATAACTAGTAGTGTATTATAATCAAAACACCAATGAATTTAATATTTACTTAACAACAATTAACTGTTTGATCGTGTCTTATGGTTGCATTTAATTTTGCATTTATTATTTATATTGTAATTTAAGTTTGCTCAACGTCACTGTTAGTATTTTGATCATACTTTAATTTGCATTAGCTTAACTTTAGACAGTAAGATAAAATGTCTAGAAAAAAAATATTACGGAATCGAGTGTGGATACGATGTTTCTACGACGCATGAATTGCCAAGAGAACATGTTTTTTTTTTTACGAAACATTTGGCAAACAGTTCCAAGCATCATTTCAAGCTAATAATATAAATATGGTAACAAAACCTTTTAACAAAGCCCTTATTCATTAAAACATCGTAAACACCGTATCACCACTAATCATCTTTGAACCGTTATAGGTTAACACTTTCATTTAGTTCTAACTAATACGTTTTAAGTTATAAAGTGTTTTTGTGAGAATACATTTTCATTAAGTGCAATTTTATTTTATCAAGATTTAATTTGTAGCAGTAATCTTTAGAATCATATCAACTTCCAATAGGTTCTCTTTGATGCGGTTATGGTACTTTCGGTGTATTGTATATCTACATTTCTTGTGTATTTTGGGGAGATCATTTATTTATTGTAAACAAATAATTTGCGTACGTTTAAGTTTTCCCGTATGTGTGTAGCAATGTGCTAGGGCAAAAATCACTTGTTAAGTTGTTTAATGGAATAAAATATGTTGAAAGTGACGCAGAGAGTTTTAAAAATATTTAACATAACAAAAAGTACCTAGAGGACTTTTTTTTTTGGTAAATCATGTATTTAGGAAATAAAAAAATAAAAAATAAAGAAAATGATCTGGTATAGAAAAAAAAAAAGTCAAAAAAATTAGTGTGTAAATGATCGTGATACGAACCGCGGCCGTCTGTTTTGGCGCTGCCCGATTACAGACCGAGCTATTATAACATTTTTTTGCGGCAAAATTTGCCGTCATATTCGAATAATATTTTTCATTCCCTGAAAACAGGGATAAAAGGACATTTTCTAAAAATGAAACCTAGCTAGATCTATTTTTCGCCCCCGCATACTAAATTTCATGAAAATCGCTGTTTCCGAGATTCCGATTATATATTTATATATATACAAGAATTGCTCGTTTAAAGGATAAGATAACTAATTCAATAATTCTTTAATTATTATTTACTAGCTGCAGGCTGAAGGCGTTACATTCAGACAGAAAGACAGATATACATAAAATCTGTACATAAATTATAGCCTGTGTTATTCTGATGTATAAGCTATATTATTGTAAAGTTTCATTAAAGTTCATTTAGTAGTATTTGCGGGAAAGAGTAACAAACATTCATCCATACATACCAACTTTCGCCCTTCTTATTTAGCATTCATTACACTGCTTCTTCAGTTAAATGGCCCAAAAGATTCTATCAGCGAAGTTTTCAAAAATTTTCAAAAAGTGTCACAAAAACTTCGTCGGTGGCCACTTTCAGTACATTTGGCGGGTTATGGGATCTCCTATGGAACGCATTGGTGCCACCGGTGGAAAATGACCAACTTTCTTTGATGGGAATCACCGTCTTGCGGCACCATGAGACTACTTCGTACTGTGCTAGGGCCACCCTTTACTGTGGTAGGGCCACGCGACAGTGTTCACTGTTGCACGAATGGGCAGGTCCGTCCGGATAAGTACCACGACCTCACAAAAAGATAGTAACGCCTTCGCAACCCTACGGCTGTTGCAAATGTTCATGGGCTGCGGGTATCACTTAAAATCAGGCGAGCCGCCAGCTCGTTTGCCACTGTCTCACATAAAAAAGAACAATCAGGGCGTCTACTTCGATCGATGTTCCCTTTAAGTCACAATTTACGACAGTCGGGGGATACCTTAGTCCTATTATATAAGCCCTTGATTACAGGACTGCGATCATACATGAAGCGGACGATCCATATCCATATTCCTAAGCTTGCGCAATTTTTATTGTTGCATATCTTTTTCTAGTCCTATGGCAACCACAGCGTCGATCGCTTGCCGTTGCGGTTTCGACGAAGAGGAGGGAACAGTGTTCCATGGCGGGAACAATGCCAATACGCCGAATTATGCCACCGACTACTCGTTAGATTTCGTATTATTAAATTCATCTCCAAAGCACCGAGCACAATCACCTCGGTGACTGTTTTTACAAATGGATAATAGAATATAATGGAATAGAGTTGCAAAGCTTTTCACTTGCTCCAGCCATGTAGCCATCTCCAACCCAATGACCCGAAATCGCCCAAAATGGAAGCTAGCGCAAATCAGATTATACGCACCGTGTAATGCCCAGTGTAAGGCAAAAGCTTTTGATCTGCATGGTGATTGTAGACTCCCGACGCCCCGCGAAAACTTTAATGAGTTAACCAAAGAAAGACCCAAAAGTCGTACCAACTCTCTCATAGTAAACTCAACTAATTACCAGCCCTACAAACGCGACCGTTTACAAATGACGTCCCCGCAACGTTCACATCGACGGTCGAGGAAGGGGGCATAGGCACGTGAGACCTACCGCCTCGCTAGACAATAGAAAGTGGAGGACCGTATCAAGCCGTGGGTTCTGGCTATCCCACGAGCTCTGCTTTCGATGATGCTTTAACAGTCCACAGAATGAAAGCAAAACCAGTAAAAGTAAAAAATGGCCCAATAAGAAAATAAGGAATCTATTTGAAAGTTATAGTAAGCAATTCTTCTATTTTGTTGGCCTCTAACACAGACGATATGGAACATAAAGGGTTAAGAAAGCTTTTTCCAATATTCGTATTGATTTTTTGCCGTAACATTTGCTTAAAAGAACCTCGGGAACTACTACTATACATGATGCGGATATTAGTATTCTGATAATATAATGAAATTATAGTAGAAAATGACTGACGATGTTTGTATGATATAAAAGTAGTAAACACATTCGCAAAAGTGTTAAAAACCGTAAAGTATTTTTATCTTGTACTTGTACGTCAAAAGTAATTTATATCAGATATATTTTTATTATTTATATATTATTTATATTCTTGGCCACATTATAGTTACTATAATTTTTTATTTTTTTAAAACATTGCCCTTACATTAGGTTAACATTATCCTGTGTTGTAAGGACGTTTTTACAAACATAAATTTCACACGGACAAACACCCAGATGCGAAACAACTGTCCCGTGTGGGAATCGAACCCACGACCCCCTACGCCGAAGCCAATACCTTGACAACTACTCTACGGAGCCATCTAACAAATAATTTTATTAAGAATTATTTTCCACAATTCCACCTTACCATAAAATACTTGGGGCCTTTAACTCGCACTATTAATTCTCCATGCCTTACTACAATTTTAAGAGCAATGGCGACATCTTTCGTTATAAATATTCATCGTTGAATGTTATTTGTTAAATGTTAGTTGTTGTACGCTGTAAACGATACAACGAGGTCATCCACCGCTCAGCATAGGTGGTACAACAGGAGATGTAGCTTCGAATCCCGTAGTGCTGAAAGTTTTGGTTCATTTATCGCCATAAATTTACAAATTATACAGTTAAAGTATCATCATAAGTATATATTAAATATTGTTAAATATGTACGTGTTTAATAAACATACGTTACTTTTTGCAAAACATCCTTAAAGTTCTATTTTTTCCTGAACAAATTATCTGGTTAGTTAAGAATGTTAATTATAGTACATGAAAAAGTCAAGAACAAAAATTAAATAAAAAATACATTCAATTATTTTGCTTCTCATTTGGAATATGTACGTTTAGGGTTCCGTACCCAAAGGGCATTACGGGCCCGTACTAATAAGACTCCGCTCCCTGTCTATCTGCCCGTCTGTCACCAGGGTGTATATTATGAACTGTGATAGTTCGACAGTTAATTTTTTTACAAATAATATACTCGTATTTCTGTTGGCACTATAACAACAAATACTAAAAAATATTTAAGCGGGGCTCCCATAAAACAGACATTACTTTTTTTGCCGTTTTATAGATAATGGTGTACGAAACCCTTCGTGCGTGAGTCCTACTCGCACTTGGCAGGCTTTTTTAAATGATGATTTACGTTTCAAGGAAATGCATTAAAAGAAAAAAAAAACCTATACTATATATAGTGAAAATTTTACCTAAATTTATTATAATTAAATTTCAATTTTTTTAATTTTTTTATCTCTGGTAACATTAGACACTGAATAGTATTAATTTTCATTTCGATAAAAGGAATAACTCAGTCAAAATTTATGGCTGGAAGAAATAACAATTGTGCTGAATATTCACACATTTTTTTTAATTTTTCAGGGCAAATTTAAAAAAAAAGGATAAACGTTATCTAGTTCCAAAGTAAGCTTGTACTATGGATACTAGGTAACTGATACGCATACTTAAACGAAATTTTATTCTGTAAATAAAAGCGTATTAGAAATATAAATAAAATTTGAGACACTAGAAAACGATGTTCATCACACAATATTTTTACAGTAGTTGGGATCGAACCCACACCCTCTGGCTCAAGAGATAGGTTCTACTACACTATCCACTACGTCAGTGAACATAAAAAGTAATTGAATAAATTCTAACCAATTTCGTTGAGTTGGGAACAAAACGTGTAGTAAACAACAAAATAAATGTAATATTTGATTTTTAAAATATTTATCACACGGTTATATTACGAAATAGTAAACTTATGTTAAACGTTTGTTAATCTGTACGGAGGACGTTTTTCATTAAGGTAAATTGAATTAACGACGTCAAGATAAAAAGTTTAATTTCTTAAATTCAAATTAATTAACAATACAGATAGTCACTGTCACAAGATTACTTTAAATATTATAACATTTTGTTTGAAATATACAAATCATTAGATTTTTTTAATTTGTCATTTTTTTATATTAATAATAATAATAGGTAAGGATATGCTTAGAACCTTTGTTGAAAGGCACACTTAAAATTATCAAAAGAGGAGGTACTCAGGTGGTATGAAATAAGATAATTAAGAACAGTCATGACTACAACAACTTTAAACTACAATAAATAATATTAATACTAATGACAAGTTACATTATTTCTAGCGGTTCACCTAAATGCTGATATACCACGTATTAGATTTTCCGTTGCCCCTATTTCAAATAACATTCAAAAAGAGGTAACGGAAGATTGTACTTATTATAATACTTTTAAACTATTGTCTTGTTTATATGTATTCTTTTTAATTTTGGACGCCAATATCTGAAGACAATATCTCAACCCATGAATCTATTTCAAGAGATCTGAGGTTGCAGTTTTATATATGGTTTTATATGGTTTGTAAATTCATAGTCCATTCTCATGTTTTTTGACTTTGACGAATCATTAAATCCAAATATAATTTGTAACCTAATGTAGATATGCTCTCTTTCAAAAATCTCAATATCAAGCCTAATAAAATAATAGCATATAACGAAATAATTTAAATACGAAATTAAAATAATCGATCATAAGGCTTTTTGTAGAAAAATCATAAACAATACTTCAATACAAGTTACAAATTCCCGAAGTTTGCATGTACACATGAGCACTTACATTTAACGCAAAATTAAATTGGCATGTTTTACATACTTCAGTCTCTTCACACTAATATTTACAAATTCATTTAAAGAAACAGTGTTACGAATAGAACCGACTCTTTGAGATGACATGCGGCCCCGTTTGTGGATGTGGACGGGCAAGTGTGGTTGTGATTGCTGTTGTTTTCTTTTTAAGACTGGAGATAGGTCTTAGTTTTAAAAATAATATTGCTGACAACGCGCAAGAACAAATCAGGGTGGCTAGAAGGGCTCCAAGTGTCGCTGCAAAACCGGGAGTAGTCATACAAACTAGACCAGGTGTTGGGACAATTTTAGGCGCTGCGTTTTCATCTGAAGAATCCATATTTAAATCTCCTGCGGACACTACACGAATAACTCTATTTACTCCAACTTCTTTTTCGGGAGATGTTGCGCTACGTTGTCTCCTTACTCTTCGTTCATCTCTCCTTATTTCCGCACCTACCGGATAGGAGTCAATTTGTGGAGGACCATACTCAACATGTTGAGCTATTAAATTGTGACCTCCGTCAGAACATTGCTCAGGACAACGATACCTGCAAATTTGAATTGTACATTGGAAGTGTACTTCCATAGAATCGGGAAATTTAAAGGCTTGGAAGTGTGCGTATGAGAGGACGGATGCACTAGCTCCAAAATTCTTGATTTTCGTGAATCTTGACATTAGTTTTGGTCGAGTTACGCAGCCGCGCCTATCGACTAATTGTATTGGAGCACGCTGTCCATCATGAGCTACACAATCTCGGACTAACATATCGAACTTCGCATCATCGTCTTTAATAGCAAGCACCATGGTCATAGTTTGTCCGATTTTCACCAATCCAGATACTTCTGAGGCCCATGGTCCTTTTCCAACTTGGATTTGCATCCAGCAACCAACATTATCTCCGGCAAAGTCTGCTCGTACCACATCAAGCATGTCAACTGGGAATGGACGGAACGTAACAGCTTTCTCATATTGATCGTGCCAAGTGCATCGTAGCTTTCTAGCCTGATCCCAAACCTCTTGTACTTGAGGATCGTACTGTATCACAATGACATTTTCAAAGTAGGTTCCAGCGGCTGCGACGTCTCCCCTGTACCTTGGGTCTCCGCTACCGGCAGTGCCACAAGCATGGGCACCAATTTCAAACGAAGCGGATGTTCTTCCTAAGTTCGGAGGCAAGTGTACGCATTGATGATTGGAGTAATGTCCTTTCGAGAAAACAATTCCAAAGAAAGGTTTGTCAAAACTGAGAAAGACCCGCATGGCATTCTTTTCACATTTTACGTCAAGGGAGACTATTTTAGGCATATCAGGTGCAGGCGCTGGCCACACATCACCGGCTCCGCTGAAGACTTTGTCGCTTGCAGCAGTTTGTGAGTCGGCAGGCGGGGCCTGCTGTGGGGGAGGACCACGGAATCCTGGCCCTAAGTCGTTCTTCATGTGGTTCACCGGTGGCCCGAGAGCAAAAGGCTTCGAATGAATTTGGTGATGATTGGGTATTCGCGGCATCCCTGAAAATATCATGAGGTTGTATTAATTTGTTTGTTTCTGAATAGTTCAATCTTTTAAATAAAAACATGTATGTAACACATTGTTTTATAACTTCCTTTCAAAGTTTGAAGATAGTATTTTAATTTATCTAAATAGTAATAAAAAAATTATATAGGTTACTACTACTTCTTTGCTTACCTAATGCATGATGCGTCTGAAGATGGGGCGGATTTTGTCTCCTGTTGTGAGGGGGCGGTACAGGTGGCGGTGGGCCGTTGTAAGCATGACTAGGTGTCTCTCGCTCGGAAGACTCCATAGCCAGTTGGTCAGTGGATGGCTCAGCAGCACTGTTCGAGTCAGAGTTGGTGCCGCCTCCACCACCACCGCTCTCATTCGACGCTTGGTCGCTCATAATCGCGCTCTGGAAAGAAATATCCCGTGCATTATAAGCACATTCTACATATTTATTACATTAAATAATACGCTAATGAGGTCACCACCAACTATTGCATCGTTATTTTGCCTAGTTGAGATCAATGCCAAATAGGGGAGAGCCGATTCAGGAAATAAAAAGTAGCTCTATGCAGCTGTAATACTTAGAACATGATATTCGAATCTGTTTATCGATATTATAAGACTTGTTATACTTAAAAACAAATCTTTTAATGGCTTCCGTAACCCAAACATGTCTCATGGTACATGTCAAATTTCCGTGACGGTAACACGAAATGTGGCTGGACGAAGCCGCATATATATTTTCATAAAGCTTTATATTTTGCATAAAGCATTATAGATTGCCGTGAAAGTTGTTAACGATTCTGGTTTTTCTTTAAGTAATAGCCTGTTTGACTGATCGCCTTGTTTTATATTTTTTATGTCACTGGTTTTGTTGCATGTAAAATTGATAACATCGCACATATTGTTGAAATAAAAATTTTATTTATTGTTTTTACAGAATAACTGTGAATCGATATAAAATTACCGTTCATAGAGTTATATTAACGTTAAAAAATACTGCTTTTTTTTCTTTATCTTCCATGACCGCGTATAGGAACATACGATACGAATATGAACCGAATTGAAACTTGTATAAATCTTGTTTATGTTGCTGCAGGGCATAAAATTAGAAAGTATTGGCCCCGACTCAAAATGGTTAGACGATCTTTGGTCGACTGCAACAATTATTTTAGATCAGCATTTCTACGGATAAGTCAGCAAAATATACCTATTTGATTAATTACTATTAATGTAAAATCGCTAATTTATTTTTATTTTATTTAGGTTAACCAGCATGTAAGCAGGAAACTAACTAACAATCGTTATACATAAATGTAACGACGACATGCTAAAAAAGAGGCAATGAGTATGTTAAAAATAAAAATAAACAATTTGGAAAATTGAAAAGTTTTGGATATAATATAATAAAGATAAAAAAGTTAGAAATGTTGATTTTGTACAAAAAAAAATTAAATATAAATTAACGTTGAAAGTATAATTATTTAAATTGGAAACGGAATCACTACATAGTATAAAACATAGTCGTGCCGCTGTCTGTCTGTCCCTATGTACACTTAGATCTTTAAAACTACGCTACGGATCTTAATGCTGTTTTCTTTCTTATTCAAGAGGAAAGTTTATATGTATTATAATTCATGCAAAATATTGTAGAGGAACACTGATAATTTTGGAGGTTTCTAATGAGATGTCGAAAACAAACATTCAGCATTGCACCCGTGCGAAGCCGGGGCGGGTCGCTAGTTATCTATAATATTGTATACGCCATACGCGAATCACTCAAAACTAGTGACTCAAGCTTAGCAGATTTGTTACATAATATGCCATTACAGAGTTTTTTGTGTAACGTGTTGTATTCCTATTGTTTAGGGTAGAATATAGACATAATTAAGAGTTCTATTTATGCCTATAGAAAATAGATATTTGTGTGCCAAATGGCTCATATTTTTCTTGTCAAATTGTTTAATCTTAGGTAAAATAAGTTTTAGCGTTTACCACACTGCAAAAAAGAATGATATCTAACAAACCACTGTTATAGTAAATTTTATTTCAAAACCTGAATTTATATATAATTATTTCTTTTTACTATTTGTGATACTATAGGATATATTACACATAAAAGACAATAACGGTCAAAATAGTAAAATATAAATCCTCAACTTCGTAAAACATCTTTTAACACTTTAAACAAAACAGATTAGAATATGAACTCTTTAAAGCATATCATTGCATTAATATTTACATATTCGTGTGAAGTGTAAGCATTTGTCGGTAATACGTTTGATTTTCCGTATCGGACTATAGATTTATATCTTGGGCTTAAAGTCACAGGATAGGTACAAAAGTAGACCCGTAATTTTGTGGAGTTGAGTCTAATGCGAACGTTAATAAATAAGACATGACTTTTAAGACTATAACTTAACTAAAGCATTGAATAAAATAGATAATAAATTCTATTCAATGCTGTAATTAAATAATGTTAATGAAATATACGCGTAGTTTAGTTGTAATTAAGTTTACAAAATCTTCATTTATTAAACAATAACTATTATAAAGCAGTCATAAAGCTTTATTGTTTCCTGACTGTATAAAGAGAATCCAGTACCGTAAATTTATAGATAATTTAACTACCATTAAATTGTATGATAAAAATAAAAAAAATATTTAAACAGTTTAATAACTTCGGTAATTTTGGATGAACATGAAAATTTGTAGAAAAAGTTCGAAAAGGTTGTCGCCGCTGTGGGAATCGAACCCACGTCTTCGGCGTTCGCGGCCTGAGGCTTTAGCCTCTAAGCTAAAGTAAATCTTAAGTGCAGAGATTAACACTATTAAAATGTTAAGTTTTTGATGAAATTTATTAATTGAGCCGCGTTATTTATTAAATCGAACTAAAATGTAAATTTGAGTAACGGATTTAACTTTAATATACTCGTTATTGTCACGGTTAAAAAATTGACTGTTTAATGTTGTCATGACTTAGCTACGTGCAGATTCACTGTTGCCAGTGGTGCTACTGTACTACACTGTTCTACTACCGAGTTCACTACACTGTGACAGTGAAACGAGTGCCGCGATACAACGCCGAGGTGTGGCCGTCTCAAGTGCAGTGTGTCAGCGCGCGGTCGTTGATCCCAGCAAACTAATTTTACTTTCATTAAGCCGCCGCGGATGTATCACTTCTGCGTCCACCTGGGGCGAAAGCTCCTTGTTTCCTTGAAACGCGATTTCGACGTGCACGCTCTATAGAACGCGTGGCAGAGATCATTTGAACACGTGTATTATGTCTATGGCTTTTACATTAATTCATATCAGACATTACTTGATTTGTCACGTATCTTTTAATTAATGATATCACGTTTTTGCAGATCGTTTATATTTAATTTGCAATTCTGATTGTTTAAATTTTATTGGCAATAACGGTATCATATCCAGGTTTTGTATTATTTTGCATCCTGTTAAAATAGTACGTGTTTTTAACCAATGCAACAGTATAATGTTTAGCACTGCTAACTAGTAACTAGTTGCTAGACAGCAACATTTTTGATGTTACTATATCCCAATCCGTAGCATTATCCGTATGAAGCAACGAACAACCATAAATATCATAATAAATTAAAGTAAGTTTTAAGATAAAACACGAACTGAAAACAACTTTATTTAATACCAAATGTGATAATTTTCTCCTTTTAAATGTGCGGTGCAAAAAAAAAAGAAACAATCTCAATTGTTATAATGCTTAGAATTTAACCAACATAAGGAAAGAATAAGGGTTGCTTAAAAACTCGAATGTCGCTCCTGAATTAGTCTTCAAACTTAAAACTTGACAACATGGTCGCACCGAGATGTGAAATATAAATATATGAACGCCGCAGAAGAAAAATCTCGCAAACGAAAGCCGATACAATGGCAAGCAGGATTTCCAAGTCCGATGTGTGTCGACGCTGTAGGTCGCGTTGTGACCGGCGCTCGGGAAAGCGGGCTTTGACTCGTCGCGACGCCACACTATTGTTACAAATCCGCAGCAGACGATCGAACACGCCATCTCGTTCCTCGGTCCTTACCTCCTTTATATATCTTTATATACAGTGTGACGGCATCATCCTACGAAATAATTTATCCACATTTCTTTGAACTAACTTTGAACTCTCCAAAGTTGAATATAATACAAGGTATTATTAACTAATGTAAGTTTATTCCCTATATCATTAAAGCGTTGGTTGGTTTAGTTATGACATTTTTAAGCTGCTAGAAAGTCCATATTTTTATTAACGAAAAACAACATTGGTTTCAAATATTTGAAGAGTTCCCTAAGTATCTCCAGAGCCCAAGATCTAATACCAATGAAATTAATATAGGACCACATGGGGTGCTTTCAAATAAAAAAAGAATCATCAAAATCGGTTCACTCAGACGAAAGTTCTGATATAAAAAAACATAAAAAAATAAAAACTAATTGAGAACCTCCTCCTTTTTTGAAGTCGGTTGAAAACTGACGATACTGCAACGTTTCACAAGGTTTATCTAAGGTTGTCTCGTATCGCATACGGTAGTTATGCGTAACTCAGTAAGGTTCCAAAACGCACGCCTTATGCCTGCTGTAAGAAAAACAGTAGGTACTTATTTCCCTAAAGAAAGAGGTGACTAGCTCTAAGCTGGGGTTGTTTACAATGTATCTGGTTGCACCGAAGCATCGACGAGTTGAGTGGCCTTCTTACTTTCCACAGTAAAGGCTAAACGGGTAAATGGTGTGCGTAGACGGAACTAGACACGTCCGCCGGCGCACTGGGTCGCCGCGACCATCTTTGGGGTCCGCACTAGCCGACCGCACTAGATTCCATCTCGTTCTGTTTCCTCTGGACACGCCTTGTTTATCTATTTGTTTCGATTAATGTCGGTTTTTTTTTTAAATATACCTTTCGACCAAACGACTTTTCAGTGAATAACTTAAGGCAAGCACAACGTCAATGTTCTAAATTCGATAGATGAAAATGTGTTCGCGATTATAACTACCGCCCAGTAGCTTTGGTTTAAAACTATAACAGTCTGATGATTTATGGACTTTATTTCTTCTTTAATTATCACTAATGACGACACTGTTTAAAATTCTAAGTTCATGAATATTTGGAAAAAGTATTCAATAGTTGAAAGAAACAATCATATTACTTAAAAATTACTTTATTTTATCTTTCTTAAGAGCAACAAAAATATATAAGTTTTTCTTCAATAACTGAAGCTAACAAGAATAAGTTAAATTATAAATATCTCTATATGAATATACTAAAATGTAATCTGAGAAACACAAACTTCAATATTAGTGTAGTATATTTGTGCTACGATAATGTATGCGGCCTGAATTTAAACAGATGTTTTCCTATGTTAACGAAGAGTAAACAA